GTTCCCTTGCCCAGGCCTGAAGCCTGGGTCAGAGGCGTCAGGCTTGGGCGGGGGGTGGAGCAAGCGATCAGAGAGAGATGGGAGTCCCCTGCCCAGGAATGATTCCTGGGCCAGACGCCTCAGGCCTGGGCAGGGGCCAGAGCCAGTGATCGGGGGGAGATGGGGTTCCCCTGTCCAAGCCTGACATCTCTGGCGGAGGCGTCAGGCCTGAGCAAGGGGCCGATCCTGTGATTGGAGGGTGATAGGGGTCAACGCCTGCGGGCTCCCAGTATGTGAGAGGGGGCAGGCTGGGCTGAGGGACACTCCCCCCCCCCCCACACACACACCCAGTGCATGAATTTCGTGCACCGGGCCCCTAGTAAGAAGATAATTACTTAAGTTCATATTACAAGTTTCTCCATGTGAAGACAAACCAAAGAGCTACTCTACACTAAGAACAGTGAAAAGGAATTGAGAATGCTTGCTAATATACTTACAAAGCCTCCTGGTTTCATTTCTAAGAACCCCGAGCCGAATAAATCACACATCTCTTTAGGTCAAACCACCCTCAAAGGGGAACCACGCGATGACTAAAACGAGTTCCTGACATGGTAAGCAGAACAGCTCCAACATCAACTATGACTTTCTGGGGTAGCCATGACCACAAAATGTACAAAAGACTATGAAAAATGATCAGGACTGAACATATGGTCTATCCATACAGTGGAATATTATTCAGACTTAAAAAGGAAGAAAATTCTGATACATGCTACAACATGGGTGAACCTTGAAGACATTATGCTAAGTGAAATAAGTAAATCACAAAAGTCTAATATTGCACGAGTCCACTTATATGAGGTACCTGCAGTGGTCAAATTCAGAGACAGAAAACAGAATGGTGGTTGCCTGAGGCTGGGGGAGGGGAAACTGCAGAGTTACTATTTAATGGGTATAGAGCTTCAGTTTTACAAGTGAAGAGTTTTATGGATGTATAGTAGTGATGGTTGCAGAACAATGTAAATATACTTAATGTAACTGAACTATACACTTAAAATGATTAAGATAGTAAATTTTGCTATATGTGTTCTTTTAGTCCTCACTAGAGAATATGTTTTTATTGATTTTAAAGAGAGGAAGAGGGAGAGAAAGAGGAATATCGATCAGAAATTGAACCTGCAACCCTTTGGTGTATAGGACGATGCTCCAACCAACTGAGCCACCGGCCAGGGCAATGTTATGTGTATTTTACCACAATTAAAAAAACAAACAAACAAGGGCTGCTACTGAAATGGGTGGTAGTGGTGTTAGTAAAGACTGTACTTGGGTCATACTTGATACATTATAGATGGTTGACAAATAACTGCTGCTTGAATAAATGAATGAATGAGTTGTCCAATGAATGTATGGAAGGCAGAAATTTCTTGGCTTCTTCAAATTGCCTGCACAAAAGCATTGATCAGATTTTGTTTTTAAGGTCAGGGTTATTCTTGAAATTGAGGTTTCCGTGGCTCAGAGACCCAGAGCACAAGGCCCACTTGACCAAAGACGGGCAGAAACAAGAGAGTCCTGGAATTCTCAGGGTTGGGAAGAACTGTAAAGGCACTGCAATATATCCCTTTACTCTATGCTGAAATGCCTTCTCCCACACCCTTGCCTGGTCTCATCTGCTGGCATCCCAAGCCCTAGAAGAAGGCCTGTCACTAAGTCTCAGCAATATTTGCTATGGGAAATAACGAATGAACTCCTGGTGACTCACCTAGTACTACCACAAGCCATTCTAGTCTTCCTATGACCCACTCTGCTGCAAGATGGGAACATGGGGAAACAGCAAACTGTCCATAGTTAGGGTCAGCAAGGTCACATTCTGTTGGACAGGTGCTGGATAGAGTGGCTCCTCTGAAAGGGATAGCCATTCTCAATGTCAATTACCTAGGAAAGAAGTAAGTCCTCACATAAGATATGAGGATTCAGAAGGCTGGCCTGAGGAACAGAGGAAGGGGTGGCATATTTTTATCAGGAACAAAGGCTCTAGGTCCAGACATTTGGAAAATAGTTGTCTAGATGTGGTGGGTGCCAAAGTGCCACTAGCTACACAGCGGTAGGCTGAGAGTTGGTGAAGGCAGGGTCTGGAAACCTGGAAAGCAGGCAACCTGGTAAATCAGATTAACCTCAGCCAAGTACGCTTGGCTTATTTTCCTGCTCTCATCCTCCACCTTTTAATAAACCCCAATGTGACTGCTTGATCCTTCTGTTCTTATGCTGAGATACAGAGTTTATACATGGGCCAGGCTATTAAATGAGCATATGGGGTAATAAGATCCCATAAAGGGAGGGAGAATATGAGGGGCCAAGAGCTGGTATTTGAGGCACTCTCCACCCTAACAAGAGATTCTCCTGCCAGGTCTTTTGGGAAAGCTGGAATTTATTATCTTTTAAGGATTATCAGCTGTAATCATTAGAATTCTTCCCAATAATTCTTCCCAAGAACATGGAAAGAGCCAATGTAATGATCCCATCTCCTCTAGAGGAGAAGCCATTTGTGGATCAGTTCTGAGCTCAGTCCCATTTGGACAGAAGAGGGATTTTGTAGATTGGTTATCAGCGACTACCTGAGGGAATTAAGGCCCTGCTTAAATTGGCAGCTGATAATAACCTTGAAATAAAGTTGGCAACAAGCTGGGAAAATCAGAGAATTGGTCTTGTAAAAACAGAATCAGAAGGAAAAGAAATCACTAGAGGGTAAAGGATAGGATACTGGCAAGAGGGGACTGTGAAAAGCTGGCTATGCTATAAAAGCAGTCTAAGAGAAAAGCTGTTGTTCAAAGTGCAGTTAGTAATTAGATAATCGGGGGTCCAGAAATCTCTTCTGGGAAGTGAAATGGGTAAAGGAAGAGCTGAAGCATACACAAATGTGTACGAGACCGCAAAATGCAGCTAAAACATAAGACAGTTGTTCAAAAAGTATCTAATAAGCTGTCCACAAAGTGACCCAATATACTTTGTTTTCAATTTGATCCATTACAGGAAAAATAAATAGCCCATGATACTGAGAAACAAAGTTCTAGATCTGAAACTACTATACTTGATTAAAAGTATCCAAGGTGATGGTTGAGTATTATTTAACCTAAATTGGCCTGTGACACAAATGAGATTGCAGAAGCATGACATACAAGATTACACAGCAAATAGTCTCCCACCTGCAAACTGCCTCAAATCCTTCCGGAGTTCCCGAAGCACCTCACATGTCGTCAGTGCAGATCCTTTCCTGTTCTTATCACTTGGTCTCCAGAGATATCTGCTGCCTAACAGCTAGGACTGGTATTTGGATGCTCCCAGAGAACCTATTTCCCTAATGTTCTCCCAGGGTTTCACCCCAAGCTGTCAAGAACATCTGAATGCCCATTGGTTCCCCTCCATCAGACAGAGCCACATGTATTTCAGCACAGAAATGGAGAGATGTCCATTAAATTTTTAAATATTCTTCCTTGCAGTGGCGTCTAATGGGATGACACTGAGATGGGGAACACTTTTGTGTTGTTTACATAATTAAGAGAATGTAAATAGCAAAACAAATACATATTTCCATTATGAAGGAAAAAAGGGGATATTGATGTAGGTTTCTCAGATTGGCTATTTTACCCATATTTTAAGCTTGAAGAATTTCTCCATGGTCTCCAGCTCACCCTCTTAGAGCATTTCCTATCTCACTAAAGTGTACACCATTCAAGGAGTTGCTTGAGTTAGAAATCTCAGCTTTGACACCTACTTTTCCTTCATATTTTTTCCTTCAGGCTCCAGAACTAATCTATATCCAAGTCCCATCAAACTTAACTACAAAATACTTCAAAATAGTGCTCTTCTCTCCCTTTCTACCATCTCTACGCTAATCCAAGCTACCTTCATCTTTCCCAGACTACTGCATTTGTCTCTTAAATAGTCTTAAGTGGTCCACTCTAACCTGTAGACCCCTCTCCAATCTGTTCTCTACCCAGTAGCCAGTACGATCTTTTCAAAATGCAAATCTGATAATGTCATTTTCTATTGTAGCCTTCCAGTCTTTTTAGTATAAAAAAACACAATCTTTCCTTCGTCCTATAAGGCTTTTTCTAGTCTAGCCTCTGACTATGTCTCCAATTATTTCACTACATTCTCAGCCCTACAACCATATTAGCCTCAGTTCTTCAAAATTCCCACCTTTTCTCCCACCACAGGACTCTTATACTCGCAATTTTCTCTACCTCGTTTCACTTCACTTCATCTAGTTAATGCCTATACATTGTCTGAGTCAGCTCAGTAGTCACTTCTTCAGAGAAGCGCTTTGAGACCCACAACGAGGTCAAATGCTACTATTACATTTATTCATTGCATCATGAACCTTTCCTTCATAATATTTATTAAATTTACAATTTTATATTTATTTTTGTGTTTATTACTCTTAATACCTTTGTGTCACTAGAGAGTAAAGTCCAATTAGGCAAGGACCATATCTGCTTCTGGGTGTACACCTTTACAATCCCAGCACACACAGCGTTCAGGCACATAGGCATTACATAAATAATTTTTGGATGAATGCTAACTTCCTTCAGGGTAAAGTGGTCCTTTCCTATAATGATCCTAAAGTTAAAAATTCCAGGGTACATCTGAGATCTGACTTTGCAAATTTTAAGGAAGAAATCTCCATACCTACCACCCACATCTTGAAGGATTTTATCTGGCTCCTCTCTTCGGTCAAACAAGTGATGCTATCCTGAACTCTCTGGAGGTGGCAGGAGGCAGTATTAAGAGCCAGGTGAACTCACCCCTATGGTAGACGCCATGTAGTCTGCACACATTTCTGCAAAGTCCCGCTCAAGAACACCATAGTAGAGGCCATAGAAGAGGAGAGAAATGCCAAAGTCCATGGCATCTTCTGGTTTGATCCTGTAAAGGAAGTAGCATGGCCTGTCCTGAGACACCACTGCTTTGTATTCTACTCTGGGACACAGAAGTAGGTTCCTAAAAGTGGGAGGTTCAAGGGCTAGAGCAAGTGTTGGCAAACTAAGACCAAATCCAGCCTGCTGTATTGATATTGTCCGTGGGCACCAATTGAACAGGCTTGCATTGTGAGCTTCAAAGACGAAGCCAGGGTATCCCCTTCTGCCCCACTTCCCCACTCTGTTCCCAGTGCCTGCCTCCTCCAACTGGCAACCATGCACTGCAGCTGCCACGGGCCTGCTCTGGTTGGCACCTACATATTGGGGACTTACTTCATACCCGCCTTTTCAGGCTACTGCTTCTGAGAATGTCTTGCCTGATGGCAAGCAGACACAAATATTCCCATCATCTGAGACAGCCCATGGGTGAGGGAAGGAGTTTTCTCTCATTATAGAAGTACCTATATTATATCCTAGATTTCGACTTTTATCTCACAAAGCCTAAAATATTTAACCCTTTACAGAAAAGTTTGGCAACCACAGTTTTTAGAAAAAAAGTTAGTCAGTTACAGACAAGCTACCATAAAATGTTAAGCTGCACCTATGCATATTCTGTATGTCATCAAGTTAAACTTTGGTCCACATCTATTCACCAAGAAGAACAAAGTTTTTTTATTGAATATATTGGGGTGACACTGGTTAATAAAATTATATAGGTTTTAGGTAGAAGGACAAAGTGCTTGCCTGTAATATCAAGAGATTTGTTTTAATAAGTCCAAGGACCAATAATTTGCTACCTTGAGTCTATAAATATTTAGTATAGAAAAGTACCTTTGTTAAAATATTTGTACCCTGCTTGGTGTGGCTCAGTTGATTGGAGCGTCATCCTGTGCACCAAAAGGTTGCAGGTTCAATTCCAGGTCAGGGCACATACCCAGGTTGCAGGTTTGATCCCCGTGCAGGAGGCAACTGATCGATGTTCCCCTCTCAAATTGGTCTCTCTCCCTCTCCCACTTCCTCTCTCTTTAAATTTAAAAAAAAAAAAAATTGTACCAGGAGCTGTATGTGTTCACTTAAAGCTGTAAATGATATTTATCTTAAAAAGATGAATTTGCTCATTAATCTTGTAATATTTAACCTATTAACTAGAAATCATGATTTTTCACCAACTGACCTATCAGTAGCATAAAAATGGTCAAGATTCCCAATTCTGTTTTCTTCCTTGTAGAGTTTATGAGAATAAAAAGAAACTAATTATAGAATAAATGGCTTTAAAATATAAGGCAGAATCTTGATTTTAATTATTTTAAGCCACACAGGTAAAAACATATCTGGAAATATCTTGCTTTTTTTTATGAGATGTGTTAGACTCTATACTGATGAGTTCCTTTGTGGAGCCAGTTTATTCTTTCAGCCTGTTCTACCCCAAGTAATAATTCCATGGCTGCCCTCTCACTACATAGTGTACTAGGTTTGGGGAAGAGGCCAATGGTCATGAATTTAAATTTGAATCCTAAATCCGTTTAGCTTCAGTACACTGTCACAGGCTTAGGATCATCCCTCGTGATCCACAAACCTCATCCCATCAGCCAGGAAACCACATTCCCACCCTCTTCTGCTCTACTCACTATACCCACCAGTCCCAAAGCCCAGAATTTCTTGGCTTCTACCTCAGTTGGGGGTGGGTAGACATGTATGGTGAAACATATATTTTTGGAAAGCTTATGACAATAGAAAGTAATAGCCAGACTCCTACTCCTAGCAATGTAACCTTAGGAAGCACCAGAGCAATGTTACCTGTGACAACACTAAATAGAAAAACAACCTAAGTGCCCAACAATGGAGCAGGAGTTAAATGCCCACAGGTTAACTTTCTAGAACTGTTTCCTTAGAAATCTGATAAAGTGGATTGTCAGCTGTGCTCCAAAGCAACAATGCTTATACATTAAACATGGCCTGTGATCAGTACACTGCATCTGGACTGGGAGATTCTTGAAACTGAATGTGTTCCTTGGCGAGGGGGGACTTCTGGGACAGGTGTCTCACTTTCTCACATCTCAGCCCTGGGACTACTATGAGAACTTCTGTAGACAGTGCCCTGCAATTTCCTGTCTTGTATCCTTCTAGGTCAGTGGTCGGTAAACTGCGGCTCGCGAGCCACATGTGGCACTTTGGCCCCTTGAGTGCGGCTCTTCCACAAAATACCACGTGCGGGCGCGCACATACAGTGCGATTGAAACTTCATGGCCCATGCGCAGAAGTCGGTTTTCGGCCTGGTTAGCAAGTCTATTTTGAAGAAGTGGCGTTAGAAGAAGTGGGGGTACGTTTGCTGAGGTCAACCCCTCAGATTGAGGACATTTTTAGCAAAGGCCAGCTTAGGAGTACCCTAATTAAGTTAATAGCAATGCACCTACCTATGTAGTTTAAGTCTAAAAAATTTGGACCTCAAAAGAAATTTCAATCATATTGTTGATATTTGATTCTGTTGACTAATGAGTCTGCCAACCACTGTTCTAGGTGGATCTGTTGCCAGGTGTGGTCAACTGTCTCCCATGAGTTCAAATGTCTAGTCCAGGGTCAGCAAATTTTTTCTGTAAAGGGTCAGATAGTAAATATTTTAGTTTTGTGGCCCATATAGTCTCTGCCACAATTATTAAAATCTGCTGTTTTACTGCAAGAGCAGCTATAGACAACATGTAAACAAATGTGTGTGACTGTGTTCCAGTAAAATATTTTTCTTATTTTATAAAAACAGGAAGTAGGCCAATTTGGCCCACAGGACATAGTTTGCCAACTCCTAGTCTTCTTGAACATAAGATCACTCAGGTTGAGTGGATGCTGCAATAAATATATGGACAAGGAAAATAGTTCTATTAGGGAGATAAAGTAACAGGAAATTGGCTATAATTATTCTTCTTCTTATTTGTTATATTTTTCCACTAAAATATAAATTCTTAGAAAATATAACCAATGGTTTGAAACTCTAACTCTGTATTATCCAACATTCCTTTATCTTTGTCAGCACAATAGTAGAGGGCCCACCCTCGTATCCCCCCCATGTCTCGAGTTTCCTATCCTGGGTTACCATGTCC